ACTTGTACTAAACAGGGATGCACAGGGATTTCCTTGGCAATATACAGAAACACACAGGAAATTTACTGGACATTTGTAGACATGCACATAAAGATCACGAGCAATATATAAGGTTGTACCGTTCACGGGCAATATATAAGGTTGTACCGTTCACGGGCAATATATACGGTTGTTCCGTTCACGGGCAATATATAAGGTTGTACCGTTCACGGGCAATATATACGGTTGTTCCGTTCACGGGCAATATATAAGGTTGTACCGTTCACGGGCAATATATACGGTTGTTCCGTTCACGGGCAATATATAAGGTTGTACCGTTCACGGGCAATATATACGGTTGTTCCGTTCACGGGCAATATATAAGGTTGTACCGTTCACGGGCAATATATACGGTTGTTCCGTTCACGGGCAATATATAAGGTTGTACCGTTCACGGGCAATATATCATCAGATACGTTAGTAAAGTGCATGAACAATATGAGTATATATACATGCGGTGTACAGGCAATGTACAGAAATACAAAGGCCTTTTACTGGCAATATACAGGGACATAAAAGTTCAATAAACGGACAGTCATGAAATGTAAGGGCAAATACGGGTAATATGGTGCACTAGAGGTTTTCGGGCAGTATACATGGGTATACTGAAGATGGGACAAAAATAAACAATATTGATAAAACAACGGGACCGATATGACCATGGTGACAAGAAGATGGATATACAATGGAAAGTCATTCATGATGTTGCTTTAAATGGTATTGGTTCTGTCCAAACCTTTCCAAGTCTTATCTGTACTTCTAACTGTTTGCTCTGTTAGATTAAAAGTGTCTGTTTCTATAGAACTGGTCGGAAAGTGTCAGCTCACAATCTAGATAGGCCAACTGTCTTGTTATGTTTTAAATACATGGCGTTGTAATTTGATCAATGAAAACGAAATTTCAATTTCCAAGAGATACACATCTGTTTCACAAGTAACAAGTGACGGCGGGCCGTATCAATGTGTTAGGATTTAAACGGTTGTTTAGTTATGATAAAACGTGCAGGAAATAAAACGTGTTCACGACTTCAGGAGATTTTTTTTTATATATCTTTGGAAGCATATTGCATGCGGTAACGGTATACACTTGTGACAAAACGATCCAATTCCCTAGATCAATTAATATCTCCGACATACCACGGAATTAAATAACATCTATACATTCGTCTAAAATATCCCGAAAAATAGCTTCCAGCAACTTCAACGTCTTCTCGGCACGCGCGAACAGCAATCAACGCTTCTTGTTGGTTTGGGAACACCATGGCTGTTCTATCAGATTTGACTCCCCCTGCGGATAAATTTGATGCACGTATTATTGCTCTATTGATAACGTATCTCTGTACAATACATGTATACAGCGATGGCACTGAGGAAATTGATATGCCAAAGTACACTTAATTTCAAGTCGTCTTTCATCAATTAACTTGTTGGGTTAAAAATCAAAATACACTGTTTGCATGGCTAACACAAGTGTTTTATACAAATTCCTATGTTTTATACATAGCTCATTGCAGAGCATGCGCGAAACATCATCGATGTCAATTAATGGCACGTGTCGAGATTGTGCGGCAACCACAATGGTTGCCTTTGATTTCATTTAAATGAGGACGGGAGTCGCCGACATTTTAGTAATTAATTCAGCTCATTTATGTTTATAGAGAAAGCGTTGTACTAGCTCCAAACGGTTCCCTGTAATCTTTGTAACACAGGGAGAGTCGACAAGCGGGAAGCATTTGCGTTCTCGTCTGCTGCACATGCATGCATGCAAAAATGTCGTGTAGGCCGAGCAAAGGACGTACATACAGTGTACACGTTAAAGGAGCAGACGATACACCATGATGGATTGTGTAAGAATAAATCAGATGTGTGATAATTCGTAGAATCGGAAGAGAGATGTGCATCTATATGCCGATTTCAGATTAGCCTCGTTTTCGAGTTAACTGACAACCTAATTATCTGAAGTTAATGTTCTAGTACATCAATAAGTAGATTGTATCGTGTTAAAATTGTATTACAGTTTTTATGCATTTTCTGAAAAAATACTATCTCAAAAAATTATATTAAAAGAATTAGCATATATCTCATTACATATCAGTTGTAAGATACGGGGAAACTCAATGTCTTGTGTTCCGACAGAGCCAGGATTACAAGTTTAAGTCATTACATTAATACAAGTATATCTGGTGTAGGTTTACGTCCGAGGCGATAGGTTGCCTAACTGATGTGTATGTAAGTATGTACGGCGGGCCAGTAGGGGACGGACATCAGGGCTATCAGGGCAGACGCTTGGCCGCGTAAACTCATTTCACGTGTAAGACACGTAATCTCTGTAATACGAGGCACAGGCGGGCGAGACAATGCAGGGTAAGATTAGAGAGGAAACAGTCCAGATAAGGAAGTACACTTTATATACAAATTCCTGGGCGATGATGACGATTGGTCCGCTATAAATGCCAATCCTTGCCCGGTTCGATTTACAAATAATCCATGTTTTTAACAATGTACTATCAGCTGTGACATAACAGACTTTGAAGTCAGCCATTATACACACACTATCGGGTCGTGATAAACACAATCGCACGTCCACACAGACGCTGTATCGTGTTATTACCGTAATACAGCGTACACAGGTCCACGGTCGATCATCGAACCGCCAACCCTCCCCACACCAAATTCAAATCCCTCCTCATATTTGATATACGTTAAACGGAGACTTTTCGAACAAAATTGTTTCGTGCTTATTAAGAACGTTTATGTTTTCCTGTCAATTTAGCTGCGCCGATTCCATGTCGTTTTAGAAAAAATAATTCAATATAATTTAACATTTCTTTATTTTACCTTGCAGTGAGACCTAACGCAATTGTAAAAGAATGTTGCTTTTCAGTATTGGAATACCATTTGTATAGGTTTAACAATTTAAAACAGTTACAAGGAATAATAAAACTGCCTTTGCTTCTTCAGCGACTAAAGCAAGTTTTTGGAAATATTTCCACTACATTTTTTCTACCATGAAATGCATTTAACTCTATAATTTGAAAATGTTAACGTAGTCTCCGCGAGAATCTCCAGCAACGACAGCAATCGTGTAAGTGACTCTGCCAACACCAATGGCGTTCAACCTTGCCGCCAGCACGTCAGTTCACGTTACAAAAACAGTAATGAACGTCATAACAGCGCAAGACTTTCGCGATTATTCAAAGACAATTTTATATAAAAAAAACCCCAGTTCTTTAGTCACCAAAGATAATATAGAGTCATCGATAGATTCCATTTAAATACCATATATGTTTAGCTCGTGTGGCAGTATCTTTAATATGTTTACGACGCGTCGCACACGTGATACTTTTGATATTCTTGCATTGGTATTCTATATACAACTGTACTTGTCAATATAGCCACGGTATTCATCGAGCCACCATTATGTGCGCGTTTTATGTACATGTACTTAAAGATGGGCTGATATGCATAATTATGAATTCGAAGTTAAAACCTGGCAATAGAATATAAAGTATAGCATCCTACCTACAACAGCAGTGGTAGGGGTTTTCTTCTGTCGTTTACTAAGAGGACAAATAGTCACAATTGATCTGCTGCCCATAATGCAACAGTTTGGGATCTTTTTCGTTTCGTATCTTTTCTGTCCTCTTCCTTTTCTATCTACTTTTTCTTTCCAGTGGCGTCTCCCTATGCACTCGTCCTCATATGACCCCGACTGTTAGTAGGACATTAAACCCCAAATAAACATAATCTTCTTGTTAATCTTGTTATACTGATCTTACGTTAATGTAAATCCAGTTTACCAGTATCTATATGCAGCCGACTAGATCAATGCATTTACTTATTGAGCAAATTTACATTTGCATGTCTTTGAATAAAGCACAGACTTACACAAACCTAGTTATGTCCACAGACAAGAGAGGTGTAAAATGACAGTCAAGCAGCTGTTTTTTAAATCCAATTAACCATCTAAACAAAGCAATATTAAGAACAATTCCTTTGCATTCAGTTTAATGAGAAGTATTTGTTTGTTTTTGAAGATGCGTACCAATCATTACTAGCTCGTGTAGCTCTCTTATGCTTGTACTTGTTGAAGACCAATGTTGGAACCATTAGGTGGTCAGAAAAGAAACACCAACTGTTTTGTATGTACATTCACAGAGACGATGGGGGTTGGGATATTTTGATATACCTTCGAAAATATAGAAACGTGGCAGTTTTTGTCTTTTTCAGTAATATTTTATGTCTTATTAAACTTGATTTATGAATAGTTTTTCCTTTGGCAGCAACAATCAACCACTTCTTATAACTTTGATGTTTCCTGGTACCATGATCCTTTATCCCTGAATTTTGCCGGGTTTTATTTACATGTACCGTCATCTGGTCCAGCTTTAGACTCTTACCCAAACTCTATATCAAAGAATGCCAAATGGTGCAGGTCTTCCCTCTTATTAGGCCTAAAAGTGTAAGATAATGCGAAACAACATTTAATGTATCTGAAATCATTTGTATTAATTGCACATTACTAGATACACATCTCTATGCTGATGCATAATTCGACTCTTTTTTCATGGCATTTAAACTATTTCTATTTCGGAGACCCAGGGGCCTGAATTGTACACCTAGACATCTAAGCAATAATAGTAAAGGTTGATAAAATATGCTGAATACTTTCACATTTTGGGCTCTGCCTCTCGGCACTTTTGACGTTTAACATGACCCATGCTACGATCCGTGTTTTAAACATAAGTGTAAATGCATCTTCATATTTCATTATTGGTATACACCTTAAACGAGTTGGGGTCTCAATGCTTTTCATGCAATGGCCCCGGGGAAATAACCCCAAGTGACAAGACCTCGATCTTGTCCTATCCCACAACACCAAACACGTCAAGATTCTGTTTTTCGTTTAGTTTGGCCTGTCTTCATATTTTTCTTAGTCTGAAATTGCAAACATTTCTGTATTTCAATAGACAATTTATTTACATTACATAATGTCCTATTGCGTGTAATTCACTTACAGGCAATCAGATATATATGTGCCAGTTACATCTGTCCGGGACTCCTCCAACTACAGATGAATTCCAGAGATTTCTAAACCACTGTTATAGAAAATGACATTGTCAATGTATCATTCAAGCTGTGTTATATGTATATATCCAGATATCATTTATACTCCCAAAACATAAAAAAAAACCACATCGGATCGTGTACAAAATTAGTATTCAGCTGAGTTTTATATACATACATGTAAATCAATTTTCTAATATCTAATCAATATTTGTTTCACTAAAATACAAGATTGCTTACATGTATACAAATTCCCGTATAAATTTCGAATTTTAATAAATAGAAAGCAGATCAGAAATTTTATGGGAAAAAAACCTTTCAGAATTTAAGTCTCAGCCTGTATTTTTTTTTGTCTTTGAGAACATTCACAAGGGGTACTCATCTTAGGGTGAAAGGGTGGCGCATTGGAAAGGAACTCGCCTGTCACCAAGACGGCCGGGGTTCGTTTCGCCAATCGGACGTGAAAAGGTATTGGGTCACCTGCCAGACCACGTGGGATTTCTCGTGTTCTCCGGATTCCTCCCACATTCAGAACCTCTGCGTGCCAACTAGAACGATTAAAATGGGTTGAAAAACTTGTTTCGTAATTGTTATGAAATAAAGTTTGTTCTATATTAAATAACATTGGTTTGCCAACTCCTCGACTATACTTGACCTTTGATATACATTAGGGTTGAATCAAGAATAAAAACGTCAAGAATTATCATGCAAGAACAATAAGAGGAACCGTAAAAAAATTGCATTATAATTATCTACAGTAAGCTGCCTTATGCAATAATTGTCAGTTTAATCATGATTACGTTCATTTCATTTGAAAGTCAGAATATAGCAGGAAATAAAACAACTTTCATGTGGATACAATGATATCATGAATTGTACTGTCGTCGTGTCGTTAACGTAGCACCAAGCTTACCATCGACAAAGGATGCTTCAGCTGACGATAAAAGTGGCCTCTAGTGATAATGATACAAACACCGAAGCACAAAGGGAAGATATGAAGAAAACAGCAAACATTAAATGTCGTCCTAATCTTCATCACTAATAACGTTCTATAAAACAAGCACAGGCGATACGACATTTGTTCTGATTACGAAGATTATCATCCTGGTTTTGAGGGCTACCAAGGCGCGTCAGCCTTAAAACTCTTTTTCTTGCATCGTCCCAGTGGTTACAATTACTTTACTCTTAGAATGCAAGGGCGTGTTCAAAATATTATCAGAGGTCAGATCTAAGTATTGATATCAAGTCAAATACAATGTCTGGATCGAGTAATATGCCATTGAATAGGAAGAGGTCATATCGAGGCTCACTGCTGTCTCTTAATGGAATACGACTTAATATACAATATAGTGAAATAACAGTTAGCATCGGTGCACAGATACGAATTCTGTTTCAAATATATAGATATGTCTTATATTAATTACCGTGCTGAAATGAAATGATTTGTGTTGGTGTATATGCCTTCAGCTATTTCAATAGGTAAAGTAGTTTTTTGTACTTGCTTATACGTACTTTTTAAAGTTCATTTGAACCATTTGGCGGTTTCAAATATTAAAATGTGTCGCTAATATTTCATTATTTCTTTGACCAGTTGGTGAGAATGTTTAATACACGTATAAAGACAACTATTGTATTTTTTTCTGGGGATGCAAAACAAAACACGATTTTAATTTCAATTGATGTGGTGATTTAATATAAAAAATAACTCGCGAAAAGAAATTAATGCATGATACTGATTCAATTGTGGTTCAGTACCAGGAGTCGGAGAGATTCCTCTACAAGGTCTGAGGTGTCCCATGAGGACGCAATCAAAAGTAACTGATTACTCGGACTTGAGCAAGGCCGATATTGGTTTTTATATATAGGTTTTATCTAGGTTTTGGAGTCGATTCGGTTACCTGGTTAGTCAGAATGGTAGTTTATGAAGTTTGTTTGCGTGTTTTAGCTGACACTGAGACAGAGTATTTACTACCTAGTAGCCCGTAATGTGTCGTTGTAAGTTTGTTTGTGTGTTTTAGCTGACACTGAGAGACAGTATTAACTATCTAGTAGCCCGTAATGTGTCGTTGAAGTACTGTTCACATTCAAACACGATAGCATCGGTAAAGCTCTTAAAATAACAATCAATACATATATGCTTAAAATTATAAGAATTTCGAACAACAGATGGGATGGATATATATTTTATAGCATATAACTTTTATCCGACACATACATTGCAAGTATTCCATGAGTGTCAATATATATAAAACGGGAAATGCTATTTTAGCGGCGAAGATAAAATCATGGAATTTTCAATTATGTCTCTTTTAACGATTTCATCAACATAAAAAATATCCATTATAAAAGTCTAAGTGATAATCTAAAAAAGGCAAAGGAAGATATCCTAACAATAATTCGACCCAGGTGAACCATACGTGGTCTCCCCCATTCAAAGGTCCCACTCTATACGGCTGTATCGATTAGCACTGAAAAGGGCCATCTTTGACTGCTCCAGTTCCTATCGGTACATCAGTGTATACCCGTATCTTTGTATCCGCATAAATCCATTTCGGATATATACATTATACGGGAGGTCTTTGTCACCTGTCTAATGTAATCTAAATGATAGATTTTTTCACCTACTTATCAACATCAAATCCATAACTTATATATGTAGAATTGAAATAAGTGTAAATCGATAATGTACATCTTCCATCAATATCCCGGTAAAGTGCACGACTCGGTTAAAATTACAGCCCATCTTCTCGGCAATCTCCAGCAGGGGACCCTCTAAGTGTCTTACGGCCGTACCTCTCGCGCTGTACCACCGACGACACAAACTCAAATTATCGTCCAACATATCATCTGAATTTCTGTTCTTCTGGAGTATTTTGGGACATAGCCATGAGTGTCAGCTTATTGATACACGTTTGAAAGTCTAGCAGGCCCGGAAAATCGTTCATATCTTGTCATTAGCTCGAATAAATATAACCCCATTTCTTGATATTGCTGTTCCATTACGATAAGATAGAGCGTTAATGTTACAAAATGCTTGAACACGTCATCATTTCGATACAATCTTCATAATCAGCATTAGCGGAAAAGTGGCGTTTCTCATCACTTAAGTTAAAAAACTTAAACGAATACGAAACGAAATTCCCTCGAGCTCTCTTGGTTTTGAGATTTAAAGACAAGAACGTATTTCAAAAAATAATTAAAAAAATGTAAATGATCCAGACTAGTAAATATTTGAACAATTTTAAACTTTTATAAATTGATCTTCATTTGCATATCTCTTGATCTCGACCGTTATCTGCGTTACCTGACGCTGCGATCGTGGTCATCATCTGTCGCGCGCGCGTCCTAACTGGCAATCACAAAGCGAAAGGAATGCCGACATATTGATCACATATAAAATTTGAATGTGATGTTTCCGATACGCTGGGAGGTTGTGATATTAACATGCCCACTATCGGCCTGTAATGAGCAATATACTAATAATTATTTTTTCGCGATATTAGATTGGATAAGAAACCATTGTAGACCTGACAAGTTGTTGAATTATTTTTACATATATTCCACTCTATTAGTAATCAGTGTCGACAGCCGTACATTATTCCGTGATTCATACATTGCACATTGTAATTATATACATTCATTGCACATTGAAATAATATACATACATTGCACATTGTAAGTATATACATACATTGTACATTGTAATTATATACATACATTGTACATTGTAATTATAAACATACATTGTACATTGTAATTATAAACATTGTACATTGACATTATATACATATATGTAAATACATTGTACATTGTAATTATATACATACATTGTACATTGTAATTATAAACATACATTGTACATTGACATTATATACATACATTGCACATTGTAATTATAAACATACATTGTACATTGTAATTATAAACATTGTACATTGACATTATATACATACATGTTAATACATTGTACATTGTAATTATATACATACATTGTACATTGTAATTATAAACATACATTGTACATTGACATTATATGCATACATTGCACATTGTAATTATAAACATACATTGAACATTGTAATTATAAACATTGTACATTGACATTATATACATACATGTTAATACATTGTACATTGTAATTATATACACACATACAGACATTGGATAACTACCCACATACTTACATTGTAACACGATACAAACACTATTAAACTAGAAATGTTCACCCAACTCGAGTTATCTACCCTGACCAGTCACGATAGGAATGTATTATACAAATATATCTGTTATGGTATACCGACTATACGATACATAATTAAGTATATACTACAAAGACAGACTAATGTAAATAATGTACTAACTATACAGACACAATGACAATTCATTACCTATATTTAAAACACTACAAGTATACAGACTATGCACTAAATGCAGGCTTAACAAAAACCAAACCATTAGACTAAGTAAGAAACCATACGGTAATTAATTTATTATCTCTTAGTATATAGACTATGAATAGATAATTTATTATACATTTAGTATACAGACTATTTTTATACTCTAAGTATGAGACTACATTTTGTATATGGTAAATAATAAATTATCTCTAAGTAGATAGTCTTTAATAGCTAAGTATTTTGACAGTTATTTTTTCATTAAGTGTACCCTAACTATACCGACCATAAGATTTATGACAAGTTAAACACTGAGTACATAGACTATACGATATATTTGGTATACTAACTTAACGTAGATATAGACTTATTATACTATATTATATTGACTGCGTGGACCCTGCCTGTCTCCAATATCTACTCGTACGCTGACAGATCGAGAACATAACTTATGGTGAGGGTTGAGACTCAATGGTTAGCAACATTTCCTCAAGTAATTATACACGTTGATACAAACCGTGACAATAAAATGATTCACTTAATACATAAAACCACAACGGATTTCTTCATATGGGACAAGACAACTGAATTATAAATGTATACTGTGGGGCTTAGACAAAACTTTGAACCTGCCCTAATGTTGTGAAGGAGCTCTGAAAAACCTTAGAACCTTTATTTATGTTTAATGTGACTGAACATCTTTGAACACGTACTAATGTTGTAACCCTGTTTGTTACTATCACTGTATCTATTAGTATGACTGTTGTCACCCAAAGTGAAGTAAAAATACCAATCTTAGACTTATTACACACGACGGCTTACGAGTGAGGCAGTTTCAGGTTCGGAAGCTGTCGAGGAGAGATCTGGAATATAAGCTCACTTAAGCCACTTAGGTGCTGGCGAGAAGCTTGACGTTATACTATCAACAGACCATCCTTTGTCTTATACTGTAAGAGGACACTTGTCTGTCTCTCTATCGACTAACCATACTAACACTGTGACTATAAGCTCGGAAGTTGTATACAGGAACTCTCAACTAACGCTTACCAGAGCCTAAACTACTTAACTGTTTTCCCAATGTGGCTACTTTGTTGAGGGGGCTTACAACACAATTGAAAAGTTAAGTATTTATTTTGCGGAATGCTTAGGTGCTT